CAGAAAAAGGCGTTTATCTCGCGGAGTGAGGAGGATGCTCACATGCTCGCTTCGCTTGCCATTCCGCTGCCATTTTTTTTTTTTTTTTTTTTTTTTTTTACCAAATAAATCGTTTTCTAATGTTGTTTTTATTGTATCATAATGTATATCCCCCGAAGATGATACTCTTTTTTTACATTTTAAGATTTATATATATATATATATAATTTTTTTTTTTTTTTAAGCAGAGATCAATTTGATTTTTACATACGTATTAAATCTTATTTGAATTATTCTACCTTTTCTTAACTTTTTATTCAAGTGTTTTATATAAAGTATTGGAGTTAAGTCAAATAATGGTTCTTTTTATACAATTATTTTAATCTAGCTTTTTATATTATTTGATATTTTTTACTATATTTAGATTTAGATTTTCACGCTGGTTTTAAGATTTGTTTTATCAGTTTTAATCTAAAAAAAACTTTTTACACTATTCCCGTTCCACCTGCCTGAAGAGAGCTAAGTGGTCGTGGGGATAGTTAACATAAGGTAGTAAGAGAAATTGGCCAGATTATTTATCCGATTAAGTGACCTCGTGACGTGCATTTTTTTAAATTATCATCGGGCATTTTATTGTCGTATGTGTTTTACTGTGTTCGTGTTTTTTCATTATTTTAATGTATTAAGTGCATTCTGTTTTATCGCTTGTTTTATTGTTCTAGTTTGTTTTATTGGTTTATTTTAATGTTTTAAGTTCATTTTGCTTTATCGTTCCTTTTATTGAATTCTGATTTACTTCATTTTATGATTTGTTTTAATATCTTCGTTTCGTTTTATGTTTGTGTGTTTTGTTTTACTACATCGTTTTATTGTGCTTTATCAGTTCATTGATACCGAAATAAAGATTTCTCAAGTATATTTCGTTTTATCATCGTTTTATCAATTTCCCTCCAGTGATATGCCTTATTTCTTTTTGTTCATGACATCAACGTGGTGATCTGCCTGATTGCGTTGGAGGATTCTCCCCGCACACGCCTCTCCTCGGCTCAAAATCACGCGTACCAACCTTTGTGATCTCGCACCATAAATATACACCACACACACATACTACATTTACACTCTTTCGCTCCTTTCCCCACATCTGCCTTCCACACTATCATTCTTCTCACATATAAACTTCGTTCCCATACGTGAATTAAATGGGTGGTGGCAGTGGCTCCTCTTTCACATTATTGCGAGACATAATTGTATAGGTATTTGCTACACGGGAAGGTGGGGATTGGTGGGGTTCCGTCTCTAAGAAGTAGCCATTGCCAGCTCTGGTATACCTCCAGCGTTGCAGCTGCCCTCGAGACTGACTGGCGCTGACTACTAATCCGACGCAACAGAACGCTCCACGTCATACTGCCATATGCGGCAGACAGTTGCCCTCGACGAAATATTCTCTGTGTCCTGCGAATCAGCTCTTTCTCTCTCTCCCTCTGCCCTCATTCTCTCTCTCCATCTGCTCCATTCCCTCTCTCCCATTCCCTCTTAGAATCCCATAACCTCCAGCTCTTAAAATTGTAAACCCTGAAAACCTAAAACTTTCTTCTTAAACTCTTAAACTCTCAAATTCTCTCATCCCTTACTGTACGTTTATACGAAGATTCCTATGCCGCGGGGCCTCTGTCGTGCACTGTGACGTCGTAGTTTGGGAGTTGCACGTAGACCTTTTCTCTTATTTATATCTATTTCTTGGTGAAAAATTGAAATACCTGTGGTGCGCAGATGTAATATAAAAGCAGTAGACGGTCACTGTAGTACAACCCATTGAATAGCTGTACAGATTTATTGTTTATTTTCCGGGTTGCCAATGCGAATCCGGGAGTTTTTTTTTTTTTTTTTCTTTCTTTCTTTCTTTCTTTCTTTTTTTTTTCTTTTTTTGTAAATTTACCACCTTTTATTTCAAGGTGGAACGGGTTTCGATTACGCCATCCGTTTGTTGTCACTTTAAGAGTGATTCTTTTGTTAAGAAAGGTGAATTTTATTCATGGATACTGTTGTGGTGGTGATGAAGCAAGGCTCCATCTCTGAAGGTGGTGTCAATTTTTTTTTTTTTTTACCACTCACTAGGAAGCGGAACAGGTTCCGCGTTAGCTACCTTTTTTGTGAGACCTGTACTTGAATTGACCTTGGTTAGAGGCATGAGAGGCTGTGGCGCCACGTCTGCGTGCGAGGCTCAAACATTTTGCGTTTGATATGTATAACCTGGCGCCCTGATCATGCTGGAATGTGAAGACACTTTCAAAACAATTTCACTTTACCCACCCTAGATAATGTATACTTACATATTACTTATTAAATTGAACTTTCTCAACACCATATTATGTCATAATGGCAATAGATCCCTACTATACAACATAATAATACCAATACCAATAATAATAAGTAGAGAGGTGAAGAAAAGAGGTGGGGGCGAGAAGAGTAAAGTGTTGAAAATGAAGGATTAAGATTAAAAGTAGGGGGGCGACACCCCTTGCATGTCTTTCTTTGCTCTTGTTGATCAGTCTTGGTGGGTTTGGGAGGAGGCAGGGAGTCAGGCATTCTTAGATTAATTGAATAATTTAACAGAACGTGTTTTGGGGGTTTTATTTTATATTCATTTTTATTTATATTTTTACATTTCATGCTGAACACGAAATTTGAACAGGAACAAAATACTGTAATTGCAGAACTCAGAAACTGTGATAAGGAACGAGAAGAATTTTTATTTGCGTTTTATTTTATTATGTTTTATTTGTTTTTTTCCTCAAGGTTGAAACAAATGAATGGAAACTCTCTGGTATCTATCATCTACCAACTCGGACGTCATACCCCTTTCAACAAACCCACTACATATTACCAAGATCTTTACCCCGCATGCTGGGTCAAGCCCCCGGCTCCTTTTTCTTCTCCTAAAATTCATTTTCCTCCATTCCTTATCCCTCCCCTATCCCCACTCTTCTTTCCCCCCCTCTTCTTTACACATTTTTGCTTTTTTTGCTGACCTGACATTACTTGTGCTTGGCTCCTTAGCAATAAAGAGATAAAATCCAGTTTGGTTCAACCTCTACACCACTACACCACACCTCTACACCACTATCTCAGGCTAAACTCGGCTAAAAAAAAAAATGGATACGCTGGTTTATGATATTGTCTTTTTATTTGATAAGATGTTTTTGCTTCTTTGTTTTCCGGCGCCTGTTGCTGACCATTGCCTGTCTTTATCGAAAAGCGTCAGGAATTGTGTCCCTCTTGTAGATTCTGCTCCGGTGTTTTGGCGTGAGCTGTACCTCGGGATTTTTTCTTAGAATTCGACAAAAATACAATTTATCTTCGACATTTATACAAGTGCGTGCTCTTGATGCGAGGAATATCAACAGGTTGTATATAAATATATGTTTACATATCATCAATAACAGTGATGATACTATTACAATGATAATGATTAATTAATATAAAATAATAAAACACAACAATAATGATGATAATAATAACAGTAATAATAATGAATAGTACATGGATTATTGACGTTGACTATCTATTATCCGTTCACTTTGTCTATCGTAATCACCCGAAGCAGCATTATTGTAATACTGTCGCTCAATTACTAGAAATTCTGTTTCTTACTTGTCCCAAACAATCTACCAGAACGTGAAAAAACAAGAAGCAAACAAGAAAACGAAACAAAGAGAGCAAGCACACGCACAAACACGCGCGCGCGCACAGGAACCTTGCCTCTGTGTGTCGATTGTACGATAGATTGTAAACTGTTATTCTGAATCCAAGCGACTCACCTCGTATTCATCATTAAATTCCTTCTGTACTGAGTCCCCTTTTATTAAACAAGAAAAGTGGATTTTGATCAGTTATATCATTGCATGAAGTGGAATGTACCAGTGCCTCCTCCTGTGTTTTTCTTTTCTGGCTTTTTTTCATATACATTCGGCGGTTAATTAAAGTGAAAAGCGTTCGCTGGTATCGATTGGGTCATCTATATAAAGAGAGGCACCACGTAAGGACTAAGTTCTGTCGCGTCAGCGCTAGGTGACACACGTTGATCGAGTCGGCATTCATCGGCACAGGCCAGGTTCCCCCATAGCCCGGGCGAGGCTCAGCTTCTCATATCGGACATATCCTTATCCTTATCCATCTTGTTACTTTAAAGTAACAGGTAAGTCATTTCTACTTTTGTCTATTCTTCATCTATATATATATAAATATTTTGTTGTTTGTAGTTGCCTCAATTGGCATAGCTATGCTCCGGTGTACTAGAACATAAGCCTATACAATAACTTTGAATGCGAGAAAAGAATGGTGTGGGGCAGTAGTTGCCTCTTCTTTTATCTTTTTTCTACTTAGACAACATTACGAAGACAAAAGCTTACCAACAAGTACTATGAGTGTCTTCCTTAATTGCCTTTCACAGTGACACATGTGCCGAAGATTCTCCAGTGGCAAGAAAATATCTTATTAAAAGACAATTAGTAAAACTGTGCGTCAGTCCGTTATAAAAGCAATGAAGCACCATAAATTAACCCTTTGATAGCGAGGCAGTCCGGGACACAGAGGTCGGCGTCCTTTCCTTCATCCCTTTACTCGCTTTGTAAAGAAGCAATTTGATTTTTGTAACTTTAACTTTATGTATTATTGATATTATTGTTATTACTACAATAAGTAGTAGTAATGTTAATATTACTACATCCTCTTGCAGAATGAAGCTGTGCGCTGTGTTCGTAGGGCTGTGTGGTGCTCGCTCGCGCGGGGACCCAGGCTTCCATTGTGAAGGAGCGAGTGAGGACGGAGGAGTCGTAGTGAGAGAGAGAGAGAGAGGGAGGGAGGAAGAGAGTAGACTTTGAAGTTTGAGAGATCAAAAGTTACTTTGGAGAGGAAATGGAAGAGAGGAAGAAAGAGAGAGGACAAGATGACGGAGACAAGAAAGATAAAGATCGATAATCTTAATTCCATAGATTTTTTTTTATCGCCAATTTTCGCCAACAGCTTTGATCGCTGGTGCCTGGTTTTGTCACTGCCAGCGGTGACCAAGGCGGCTCCGCTACGTGGGAACTGCCCTCGGGAGTAACGGTGTTCTTGAAGGGTTGGGCTTGTCTGTTCCCCCCTCCCCCCCCTAAAAAAAAAACTTCAACATCAGTGCTCTTTCTCGCGGTCCATTCTCATTATCGTACAGAAGAAACTAGACACATTTTTTTCTATTTTGTGCTTCTTACTGACGTTTCTTTCTCCCGCCTCTCTTCGTCGCTAGGTCAACCCTAACAGCTGCTGGCAAGATGGCTCTGGTCCTTGTCCCAACGGCAACTGCCTGGACAAGGGAACTCAGGGCACTGTCATCAAGGAGACCACGGTGTCGTGTAAGTGGTATTGCCTCTGGAGGAGCCACTGCAAGACACAGATCTGCTGCAACTAATATCTCTGTTGCTTTCTGTGCGCTCTTTTCTGCGTTCTCATCTTTTGTAATGATTCAGTCATACTAAGCACACGAACACACACACGCATACGAATACACACACACAAACATACCAACAGCTTCCCATAATACATTTCAGGTTAAGGGTCTTATATTTGACCCACGCTGACATCTTTTTTTCGATAGACATAGATGAACAGACAAGTTAACAGATGGAAATAGATACAGAGAAAAAGCGTCATTTCCTATTTATCAAGAATCACTTGCATGATGATGGTCTTTTTATCTTTTATAAAATAGCACTTTCATTAAATTTCGTGCTTTTTGGATTTCAAGAATGATATTGTCTCTAACATTCTATGAGTTTGACATAATCAAACTTCCTATGTATTATTTGTATCTTGATTTAATATTACTGCACAATGTAACGCAATTTTAAGTTTGGTCTTATGCATGTATACATGTGTGTCCGCGTGTGTATACACAGATGCAATATAATGTTACCTTCTAGAATGTCATGTTCATATCCCGTCTGCTCTTCCTGTATAATAGGATACCTACACATACACAGACACATGCACACATATATATGTATATGTATATACATATATATACATATTATATATATACATATATATATATATATATAATATATATATATATATATATATATATATATATATACATATATATATATTATATATATATATATATATATAATATATATATATATATATATATATATATATACATATATATATATATATACATATATATATAATATATATATATATATATATATATATATTATTTATTTATTTATTTATTTATATATATATATAATAATAAATCTCAGCACTACCGCTGCCAGAAATAACATCTTTAGGGTTGAACAAATAAGCATTGATTTTCTTTGCTTTAATAGTAGAACTCACACGTTTCGGGTTTACTTCACCCATCATCAGTAACACATAACTGTAAAACAATAACATCACATATTGTAAGGGTTCTGTGAGCCAGAGGAACCCCGATAGGCGGCTTAGGGGCCAGAACTGGGCCCCGTTCGGTCCGTCCAAAAAGAACGCTATATCCCCCGACAGATTTTAGGTTGGGTACCGGTGCAAGGATTTGCGTTGGCAATAAAGTGGACACAAGTAGTTTTAAATCAGATATATTATTTATACTGATCATCAATTAAATGTCATAATAAAATAATAACTGGAAATACCTATAGCAAGATTAAATATGAGTATAACATTCAAAATCAGGTCAAAAGTAATTCAGTAGGTCAGTTCATTATAAATTTTGAGATCAGGTTAAAGTTAATTCAATGGCAGAAAAGGTTCATTGAAGACATCACTACGTAAATAAAGATTGCGTTCGTCTCAGCTCCTAACTGTGGCAAGTAATACATGTGGGAAAGCTCATTTACCACCTTTGTTGTGTTTTCCTTCCGGCTGGGGTACTCCAGGACGACTCTCGGGAAAGGGTAGTGACCACACCAAAAGTCCGGCTGACACACTTTATTTTTGTAAAAGGACGGGGTTTGAACCCCACATACAGGGCATATAGTTTTAGATTTCATTCACCCGTAAATTACTAAAACAAAAGAAAAGGAATCATAAAATAAATATCAGTAATAAAAATAAAACTAACCACATAAGATACATAATAAAATTAAAACGATATACAACAGAATAAAAAAATGCATGGCCTACGCTAGGCTTTTAAGAAATAAAATAAAAGCAAAAGTGAATCAAAAGTCTCGGGTGAAGTGGGCATAAAATGGCAAACTAAAACGTAAAATAGAAAACATAAAAAATGTGGGAGGAAGCCAGCTGCATAAATTAAATGCGAATTCAAAGTGGTCGCAGCGAAGGCCTAAGGGAACGCCCTATAAAAACAAACATGTAAACAAAGGGGTTGCCTGCTAGTGATTAAAATAACAAAAATGAAAAGTTCGATAAAAATAATTACGTAATATCTGTTATGCAGCTGACAACCCATACAAAATCAACTAAAAAAATGACATACAAAATAAAACATCAAGCGCAATAAAACCGATAATGAAATAACAATAGCGTGAGCGGTGTGCTATATAAAAGCAGTGCAAGCCTCAGTGGGGCTAATAAGAACAAAAACGAACAGAACAAACGATAAAACTAGTAAAATCATAAAATTAAGGAACACGAAAGCTAACGGAAGGCATACTGAATACCATACCATGAGCCATAGACGAAATCATCCCCCGAGTGTAAATCCCCGAGTGTATGTGCAGGTATGTATGTATGTGTGTAGAGTCAGACGTCAGTGGTGGGTCATCGTTTGGACCTGTAGGAAAAGGTTAAGGAAGGACAGGAAGGAAGGGGAGGACTTAGGAAATTTGGGCGAGGAGAGTAAGGAAAACCTCAGGTACGTGAGAATTACGGGGGTGGGAGACGGGGAGAAGATGCGTGAGAGACGGGAGACGGGGAGAGGATGCGTGGGAGACGGGAGACGGGGAGAGGATGCGTGAGAGACGGGAGACGGGGAGAGGATGCGTGAGAGACGGGAGACGGGGAGAGGATGCGTGAGAGACGGGAGACAGGGAGAGGATGAAGGAGCTGGGTGTAGGTTGCAGGCTGTGGTAGGAGGAGGCTTCCAACCTCACAATCCCTCCATCGCCCACGGGGTCGAAGAGAGCAGTGGAGACCCTGGAAAGACAAAACAAAGGTGGCCAGAGCCCATTACTTGCCACAACATAACTAAGTGTGCCCACCCAGCTGGGACGTCCGGACCTGATAAACGAAAGAATATGAATGAGTCGTCGGAAGTACTGGCAAACCTAGGTCATCGACAGGTAACTCAGCTGACCTAAACTGTTAAAAAGTTTATTATTAGTTCTATACCTTAACTCTGCCCAAACATGACAGACACCTGATACTCGTGTTGATTCGGCTCACTCGTCTGCTACAGCATCTCCTCTTCACTATTTATCTCGTCTAGAGTCCTATGACAGGGCTCAAGAGACAGTGGGGCACCCAGATCAGCATCATCCCGACCTGGTTCCAGACCGCGAATGCATTCATGAATTTCCGGTTCTCTGCAATCGTCGGAGTCGTCTACGTCAGAGTTAAATCCTTCAGATGAGTAAGAGAGCTCAGCTGATGAATTAAAAAGCTTCAAATTCTTCAAATGAGGCCGGCTACATGGCAAGAATGAACATTCAACGTCAGCTTCCAGGGTATCTTCAATGAAATCGTCCCATTCCATCTCTGGTTCAGAATCTTCGCCTTCATATTCTGTCGCTTTAAGTGGCTGTTGCAAGCCAGGGTCTTCAGTCTTAACGGCTAGCGCTTCAAGTTGGTCTTCCGTTTGTGCGGCAACGGACCATGTAGTGGTCAGCAGACTTATCTTCAATGACCTGGCTTCTGTGAAGACTACTGGATAAGTATGATCACCTAAGACCAGCTCACCGTGAGAGGAGCCAGCTTTGGCCCTCATGGTAAAATTCAAAGAGCGTAGAAGGTCAATTCCCATGAGGATGTCCCCTGGAAAATCTAGGTCAGCTATCAGAGTAGGGTGTTCAATAGCTCTCTGACCTAAATCATACCTCAAGGTTACCTCAGCTGCTGGATGCATGTGGGTTCCAGACACGCCCCTCAGCACCTTGTCTGATGGTCGATGTCTTAATTTACCATCAGGATCAAGTTGGTTCAGCACAGCCCTCTTAATAAGGGTAATTTGAGAGCCTGTGTCTATGAAAGAGAGAATAGACTTTCCCTCAGCACTGAGTACCGCGAGTGGTCGCCCTTGGAGAGAGAGGGTACTCATTCCAGTGGCTGCGATGTGCCTGTGCTTGCTGCATGCGAATCCTATCGTTCCTTGTAGTGTACGTGCCAGTGGGGCTGGGAACGTGACCTCCCTGGCCTGTGAAAAAGGGACAGTTTCTGCTGAAATGGTTAGGATCACCACAGCGGTAACAGCTATACCTTGGTTGGCTATTGGGTGACCGTTGGGCTGCTCTACAATCTTGCATGCGGTGTCCATTCATCTTGTGGAACTCACACCAGGGTAGTTCCTGCCGTACTCTTGGTGGTGTACGAGGGTGTGGTTCTGCCGTAACAGGGTTGAGGTCACGGTGTCTGGAAGGACGGTCTGGGCTATGACGAAGCTGTTGGTCTGCAACATCATTCGGGGACTGGTGGCGGTTTGGATCTGCCGCATTGCGAATTCCATTACGGGAATTCCAAACCCGCTGAGCTGCCTCTGCCAAGTCTGGTGTACCACAGTCATCCTTCAGAGCAAACAGGTCTCTGAGCCATCCAGGGAGCCCAGAGAGGAATACCCTCCTTACCAGCTCAAGTGGATCTCCAATGGCATCGCGATGGTCCCTTACGCCCTGGTAGACTGACGCCTCTATTTGCAGATAGTCCATTGGGGCTTGGTTCGAACTCATCCCTTGATTATAGAGAACCTTGAAAAAGTCGGCTGCCGTGTAGGTCCCTCGAAACTTTTTCCGAAGTTCTGTCTTAAATAAGGGCCAGCTAACAATGTGGTCAAATTGTTGCGAGTTGACTATCATGTCAGCTCGGCCCCGACAACTAGCCCTCGCAGCCCTGATGTAGGCTTCATCAGTCGCAGGTCTCACCAAGTTCTCAATGGCTCAGATCCAGCTCTCGACTTCATGGTTGCATTTCAGAGGGTCATTTGCAGTGGTTTCCCCTTTGAAATGTGGTACTGGTTCTCTTGACAACACATATGAGACTGTTGGTTGCCAGGATCCTTGTTGTGACTGCAGAACTGGGTCACTAGAGGGCAATGAAGGGCCACCAGCTTCTTGGTGGGACCGTAGAGGAACAGGTCGTGGGACAGTAGTCTCTTGCAGTGGTGCTTCACTGATGATCTGCTGGGCATTATGACGTCGAAACTCGGGCAACAACACTTGGTGCAAAGGCTTACGTGAAGGCAACTGGTGGTCTGAGGGATACAGAGGCAGTTGACGAGCAGACTCACCAGTTGATAGCTCACTGGTTTGGCCAAGGGAACTAAGCCGTTCAAGTTGTTGCTTCAGCACGGCGAGCTCTTGGTCCCTAGCCCTTAACTGCTGCTGTAGCTGGCTCAAAAGATCAGAACCCTGAGGTTGGGACTGGGAAGGTGGCAGCTCAACTGAAGGGGTCCTGACAGTTGGGTCGCTCGGCACAAGAGGAGGGACAACTACATTCGTGGCAGCTGCGTCTAGGCCACTACCCCTTACATCTGCTACACTTGGGGCTGGAGCACTAGTGTTTGCCAACCTTTCTTCTAAGAGCCTGTCCCCTTGACTCCTGCAGAAGTCTTCCATCATGGTCATCATCCGCTCCTCCATACGGGCCATCCGCTCCTGGATCTCCTCCATCATTCCGACCTCTCTCTGCACGGCTTGGATTGCTTCCGCTCCTTGCCCGGAACCACTCATGACTACAGGGAGCAGGCCGATCTGTGGCTCTTGGTTCGCTGGTGATTGGCTGCGGGAACCTGGTAGGCTAGATGCTGCGTCTTGACCTCTCCTTGGCCTAGGCATCACGGTTTCACTTCACGAGTGTCCTTGGATCCACTAAAGTTCACAATGCAAGTTCACTTAAATCCGCCAGAGACCACTTAAATTCGCCACAGTTCACTTAAATCCGCCAGAGACCACTTAAATTCGCCACAGTTCACTTAAATTCGCCACAGTCCACTTAAATTCGTCACAGTCCACTTAAATGCGCCAGAATCCACTTATATGCGCCAGAGTCCACTTAAATGCGCCAGAGTCCACTTAAATGCGCCTGAGTCCACTTAAATGTGCCAGAGTCCACTTAAATGCACTAAAGTTCACAGCGCTTACACTTAATTCACTAAAGGCATTCATTAGTATCAAAGTCTTACTTTCTCTTACAACTAAATGCCTGGTTAGGAGAAAAAGTCAGCAGTGGGAAAAAACATATTAACACATGGCAGTGTCCCTAATCTATCGAGAGCCACTAAAAGAACTAGCTAGTAAAATACAAAATAAAATGTTAAATAATATCCTGGAAATACGCACCAATCAAATGCTATTAAACAGAGAAACAATGCATCAATACAAAACAGCATTAACGCTGGTAAACACATGAGAAGCAGAAGGCATAAAGGTACAGATGAGGTATAGTGTAAATGCTGGAAGGAATAGTCGGAATGGACTACAAGAGGGTACAGTGTCCAGAGTTAAATCAAAGAAAATACAGTGAGGATGCAAAAGGCACAGAATTCAGGAGAAGAGAACCTCGGGAGCAAGACAGAGCAGACTGCATAAGAACTGTAGACTCGAGTATAAGCAAAGTTCTGTAAAAGATTCAGAAGAGCTGGACAGAGTACAGCACGAGATAAAAAAGATCAAGATGGAGAAAGCACGAAGTCCAGAAGTAGAGAGAAAAGTAAATGAATAGAGTGAAACTTCAAAAGAGCACAGAAGTCAAGAGAAAAGCTCATCGGCTAAATAGAATGAACTGTAGAGGTTCTGTAGAGTGAAGTGTAAGAGAAGTTTACTAAAAGATACGCAGAGAAGCTGGACAGAAGGAACTGTATGAGGGTTATAAAAATCAGGGTGCAGAGTAAAAGCTGTAAGAGCAGAAGTCCAGAAATAAAGACAAAGGGTAAAAAGGCATTGTCGAGAAAGAGGTAGACAGAGGTTGTGACAAGAATAAAACTGAGGCAACATAAAGGTGCAGAGTAAAGCAGTGAAGAGTAGTAAAACAGGGAATGAAATTGGTTATAAGCACAGGACAAAAGGCACAAGCCGGCAAGGCAAAGCATGAATAATCATGTGAAACAGCACATTTTAAATATACAAATACACAATACGTGGCTCTCCAAATCTACAATATTCATGCAATTGATATAACCTGACAGGAAAAAGCTATACTGGGACACACCAACACAAATCCAAATAAACACCGGCCCCGTTGGGCGCCAAAAAATATTGTTAAAACTATCTGTAAGGGTTCTGTGAGCCAGAGGAACCCCGATAGGCGGCTTAGGGGCCAGAACTGGGCCCCGTTCGGTCCGTCCAAAAAGAACGCTATATCCCCCGACAGATTTTAGGTTGGGTACCGGTGCAAGGATTTGCGTTGGGCAATAAAGTGGACACAAGTAGTTTTAAATCAGATATATTATTTATACTGATCATCAATTAAATGTCATAATAAAATAATAACTGGAAATACCTATAGCAAGATTAAATATGAGTATAACATTCAAAATCAGGTCAAAAGTAATTCAGTAGGTCAGTTCATTATAAATGTTGAGATCAGGTTAAAGTTAATTCAATGGCAGAAAAGGTTCATTGAAGACATCACTAAGTAAATAAAGATTGCGTTCGTCCCAGCTCCTAACTGTGGCAAGTAATACATGTGGGAAAGCTCATTTACCACCTTTGTTGTGTTTTCCTTCCGGCTGGGGTACTCCAGGACGACTCTCGGGGAAGGGTAGTGACCACACCAAAAGTCCGGCTGACACACTTTATTTTTGTAAAAGGACGGGGTTTGAACCCCACATACAGGGCATATAGTTTTAGATTTCATTCACCCGAGAAAATCAAAGTGTTTAATAAAAGTAAATTACTAAAACAAAAGAAAAGGAATCATAAAATAAATATCAGTAATAAAAATAAAACTAACCACATAAGATACATAATAAAATTAAAACGATATACAACAGAATAAAAAAGTGCATGGCCTACGCTAGGCTTTTAAGAAATAAAATAAAAGCAAAAGTGAATCAAAAGTCTCGGGTGAAGTGGGCATAAAATGGCAAACTAAAACGTAAAATAGAAAACATAAAAAATGTGGGAGGAAGCCAGCTGCATAAATTAAATGCGTATTCAAAGTGGTCGCAGCGAAGGCCTAAGGGAACGCCCTATAAAAACAAACATGTAAACAGAGTGGTTGCCTGCTAGTGATTAAAATAACAAAAATGAAAAGCGATAAAAATAATTACGTAAAATCTAAGGTTATGCAGCTGACAACCCATACAAAATAAACTTTAAAAAATGACATACAAAATAAAACATCAAGTGCAATAAAACCGATAATGAAATAGCAATAGCATGAGCGGTGTGCTATATAAAAGCAGTGCAAGCCTCAGTGGGGCTAATAAGAACAAAAACGAACTGAACAAACGATAAAACTAGTAAAATCATAAAAATAAGGAACACGAAAGCTAACGGAAGGCATACTGAATGTATGTGCAGGTATGTATGTATGTGTGTAGAGTCAACCGGCAGTGGTGGGTCATCGTTTGGACCTGTAGGAAAAGGTTAAGGAAGGACAGGAAGGAAGGGGAGGACTTAGGAAATTTGGGCGAGGAGAGTAAGGAAAACCTCAGGTACGTGAGAATTAGGGGGTGAGAGGATGCGAGACGGGAGACGGGAGAGGATGCGTGAGAGACGGGAGACGGGGAGAGGATGCGTGAGAGACGGGAGACGGGGAGAGGATGCGTGAGAGACCGATGAGAGACGGGAGACGGGAGAGGAGAGGATGCGTGAGAGACGGGAGACGGGAGAGGAGAGGATGCGTGAGAGACGGAGACGGGAGAGGAGAGGATGCGTGAGAGACGGGAGACGGGGAGAGGAGAGGATGCGTGAGAGACGGGAGACGGGGAGAGGAGAGGATGCGTGAGAGACGGGAGACGGGAGAGGAGAGGACGTGAGAGACGGGAGACGGGGAGAGGAGAGGATGCGTGAGAGACGGGAGACGGGGAGAGGAGAGGATGCGTGAGAGACGGGAGACGGGGAGAGGAGAGGATGCGTGAGAGACGGGAGACGGGGAGAGGATGAAGGAGCTGGGTGTAGGTTGCAGGCTGTGGTAGGAGGAGGCTTCCAACCTCACAATCCATAAATAAAGTTACATCAAATAATGGTAACTCAATGAATCAATACCAATAGTATTAAAGTTACAGTAAATATTAAATGGACATTTACATGTAGAATTAACTTATTTGGAACATGTTAAGCAATGACAATATCAAGAGCATAAACTGAATCAAAACAATGAATTCTTCATATTACATTAAAATTAGAATTAATACATAATACTGAATTTTAAACATTAATAATACAAATGACATAGAGCATATTGACTAGAAAAGTCTTAAACACAATTAAATTTTTCAAATTCGTACAAAATTCCATTGTTAAATAGTCAAAATACCGTTTATGACAACATTGAAACAATACCAATATAGAGTTAAATTGATAATAACCTTAATTCATTATGAAAAAGGGAGGACATAAAATTATTTGGACCCAAGCGTCATCCCAGTGGGTACCGGTTGCAATTATTTGGAAATTACAATCAAAATTCAAACTTTTATCAAACCTTAATTAAGTTTAAATGCAAGTCTAACACTTATACTATAAAATAACCATAAAATGACTGTACCAACCTAAAAGACAACGTAAAAAAAGTTGAAAAATACATCCAGCAAGGAGGAACGTCCGTCCTTCAGCACGGGCAGTGGAGGAGTGGGCCGTTGTTTTGTCGAACCCAACAAAACTAAAAGAAACCAAAGAAAACTTGTAGCCAGCAAGGGGAGAC